CCACACCTGAACATAAACAGAAAGTCAAATACATGCGTTTTATATGTGTCCACAGTCTGAGGCACATGCATTTGAAGTGCATTTAGGCCTGGGCAATAAAACAACAGCAATATGTAGCAGCGATAGATACTTAATCAATAGCAATATGAATATTGTTCAATAGAAAGTCTGATAGTTTTCACAGTTGCATGAACAAAACCCAAGTCTGCTCTTTCCCTGGCCCATAAACAGCCTATTAAATCCCTTGATAATGGAGCGTGCTACAAGTGACAAACAGCCAATGATTTAACAGGTGTTTTGTTCGGTTGCACCAACAGCAACAGAAACGTGGAGTGAGAAAATGAGTGCAGCCGGTGAAGACTGTGAGGAAATTGTTAACAAGAAGGACAGGTGAGCTCGCCAGTATGGCAGTTTTTAGGTCTTCAAGTCCAACCAATATCAGAAAACTGTAAACTGTGCAGGAGAACCGCCCTGACCAATAGAATACAACGAAATTATTTTATCACCATAGTCACTTCCCCCCTTACGGAGCATCTCCTCACTCACGACCAACATCTGTTACATATCAGGAAACAACCCGTGGACAGTCCATGATAGAAAGGTACCAAGACACAACCCCATAAGACAAAACATCCAAATGGAGCAAAGATATAACCCACGCAGTGGTCTACTATTTTTCTCCTTGTCTTAAAAATAGGTCATTAAAAATTATGAAGAATTATTTCAAATTTCTCCCTTATGCACTCTCTTTTTCATCCTTTACAGAATTACTCAATAACTTTAAGCACAAACAAGTGCAACACCATGAATCTCTTCCAGGAAAGGTTGTGCACTGCTCTAAAAAAATTTCCTTTCCAGTGTTATCAGACTACACATCATACCAACTAGTTTGTTTCAAACATAACCTTGCTTTAAACCCTCTGTCCTCCAGCCCTCGGGGCCCAACACCATCAAGGACGTTTCAAATTTTAATATCAATATATTTCATGATATGGCAAAAACAGGCAAAATCACATAAAATATTCAAACTGACTCAAAGCCAAACTGTGAGAACTGTGTTTGTATCCGGAAACAACACACAGTAGGCGCATAGGTGACCACTTCTCCATACCTTATCCAGCACTGCTAATACAACTATGAACAGGCCCATCAGGGTGCATCTATTTAGCTCAACATATACAAAAACAGATACTGTTAACTTAAATTTTCCCAGATTAAGTACAAACAAATGATGAAACAACCTTTTTTAAATGGGTGTGTGGTTATCAGAGAATGTCACTCACCCTGTCTCAGAGTGTAATCCTGAAGAAGGGACTCAGTGGTCTCATCCAGAGCAATGTCCAGAGGAACATCACCGTCACAGTTCACAGCAGAGAGAGACGCACCTTGCTTCAAAAGGAAACTGACAAGACAAACATGGACAGAGTGAGAATCCATTCAGCCGTAGAAACATTTACCTAAATAGAGAACGCCTAATCCTATCACATTATCTGTGTTTTGGCAGCTGATACATTCACTCTTAAAAGTGGGGCCAAAAGGCATTATTCACAAACAAGGAAAACTGTAGGAAAAAAAGGTGCATCAGTTCTTAAATCTTCATTTGCATGCATTTGTGCTGGGCCAGCCCACTAATGCTTTAGCTGACTTGCTGTCCTGCCAAACACGACAACAATGTTACTATTGTTGAATGCAGAAATACTCTGGCACCCATGCTGCACTCTGACGTCCCCACAGTGGCAAAGAGTACTGTACTACACAGCTGTTATATTGTGCTAACTGTAGAGACTTATACTACATACTCTGCAATGTCAGAGTAGCCGCAGGAGGCAGCAACATGCAGTGGTGTCCATCCCTCACTGTCAACCTGGTTCACGTTGGCACCATTCTCCAAAAGGAACGTCACTATCTCCATGCTGCCATCTATGCAGGCCTGCAGACAAGAGAGGGAAACAAAATAATTCAACTGTAAATGTTTCTTATTCATCGGACAATAATTTATAAATTAAACCTCAGGAGGAGAAACTGCCTCACCTGATGAAGAGCAGTAATTCCATCAGCATTAGAACAGTTGATAATTTCAGCCACATCTTCCCCGTTCTTCCCTTTGGTGTCTTTGGCCTCCTTCAGCATGACCTGGGCCTCCTCTGTGTCCCCGCTGGCACAGGCAGCCAGGAACTCTGCGGCCCTGTCAAACCTCACACTTTTCCTATAGATACAAGAAAATCATAAAAAAAATTGTATAGTTTTGTTATCTGAAGCAAATACCACGAAAAGGCCAAAACCAAAGTGTTAGTCTGTCACTCAAAGTTATCTGATTTCCCTAACTTGCTTGTGGCTCTCATCCCCAAGCCCGTCAGTTTCGTCTGAAGAAGTAAACCCTTAAAACAGATTGCAAATATTTATTCACTTTTAAATGAAAAATTAAATGTTATTAGCAAACATTACTCCAACAGGATTAGATATCTGTCAAATAGATTGTTTTGTTGCAAGGAGAGGTGGAAAACTAAATGTGTTTTTAACAATTTGTGGACACAGATGGACGTGGAAAGAAATAAGCTAGATCAGGCTTTGGATGCACAGGCAATACTTGCTGTGACATCAGTTCACTGGTGATTTTGGTGTTTTTGTGAGATCTGTAAACAATAAAAAAGATACAGACTAACACAAACCTTTAACTTGGTCACTCTGATTTTCTGTGTTGTCACACAAATTGGCCTGTAAGTTACTCTCAGTCAGTGTTGGTGGGGGTCTTCTTGGGACTGCTCTTTTCTAATGCAGTTGATGCCATCATAAATAGCTCTTGTTAACCCAAATATCAATTAGCAGAGGGCTACAGTTTAGCTTTATAAGATGGTCACTGCTGGAACACTGATTGAAACAAGCACTGTAAACCTTATATAGTGTAGTCCAAAAAAAATCATGATTAGCAAAGTCAAACTGTGGCACAAGTAGACCCTCATCAAGACCGACTGTAAGTCACTTTGCTAGCTAGCTAACTAGGACAAACACTACAAACTACGGCCTCAGAAACGACGCTGACAACTGACAGTTTCAACAAAAACTAGACATTGTGAGCTTCATTAAACTGGTGACGTTATCTAGTAGCTGGAGGGCTAGTGTTTTGGACTATGGGGTGTTTCTGTTATTTTGTCCACCCCTTGTGCAAGCCCACGCACAACATTCCTCCTTTAGCATATCTTGAGATGTTTAAGCTAAGCTAGCTGGCTGTTAGCTGGCCGTTTAAGTAAAACTGTTTGACGGGAGATGTTTTCTTACCGTCGTTTGAGGATGGGGCTAATTTCGTCAGACACTGACTGCTCCCCCGGCGGGTCGTTCAGCTCGGCCTCTGGCTCCCCTGCTCTATCCTCGGCATCGCCCCGCCACCTCCGCCTTGGCACGGCCGACGCTTTGTCAGTGCAGGAGCCGGCCCAGCGCTTCAGCTGCTCCCGCCGCTTGGTCCTCGCCGAGTCCCCCATTTATTTATCCGAGGAGGACTGTGTTTTTAAAAATAAAACATACACTGGCAGGGAAAGACACACCCTCCATGTGTATACTTTCACTTCCTGGTTCTTGCTCTGGATGTGGAGGAAGCCTCGGCTCGCGTTCGTGTGCGTCGAGAGCGCGCAAAGCTGCGCAGGCTTGTCTATGTGACGTCACCACCGCTGCTCGTAGTAGACCCTTGAGGGGAAATGCTGAAATAGCTTCATGCCTGGGCATTGTGCACATACTATAACCACTTCACTTCCTGTCATTGTGCTTCTTTTGAGACTCAAGTCAACTTAATGTTTACATAGTATCTACAGTGAAGACAGAAACATATTTCAACGCTTAGTGATAGGACTATAGGACTAATAAGGCACTCTTTACATAAAACTCTTTATGTCATTCTTCCTTGTTTAAAGGTCACAGGCTTCCAATTTGAAGTCTTAATGTTAATAAGTCATTAATAAAGAAAGAAGGAAAGAGGTTTCTAACAGTCTTGTAAGTCAATAGCAAAAGTTAGGAAGTCATCTGGCGTTATATAAATCCATAAATGTAATTAATAACTAAAGAGTTATTACAATAATGCATTAAGCATTCAGTTGTGAATGCTCAGAAGTTGTTGGTCCATTGGAGGGTCTTCCTGATGAACTAAACAGCTAAAATGACAGCTATTCTGCCGATGGAAGATAACCAGCAGCCAGAGGATGTTTTCACAACCTGGAGAGGATCTGACTATCTGATGTTAAGTTGTATTGAGAGCATGTATGTGCAAAGTTTGTCCTGTTTGTGTCCACATGTGGAGACAACAGGGCCAGCCACAGTGAGAGCAAGACATGCCCATAATTTTCTTTAAAGTGGAGATTTGCAACTTTTTGCCTTAAGGCAGTACACATGCGATGCAAGTCCTACCAATTTGCCAGACATGTCTCCATCTAGGATGGCTCATCCTGATGGGCTGTTTACCTTAAAATGACTGCTAACCTGAGGCTCAGATAACCAGCATTCATAAAATTACCACAGGTGTACAAAAAGCTGCAGTCTGTGACAGTAAAAGCAGTGATGATGTTCAGCGGGCCTGCTGTTTGTGTTGCAATAACTTCCCTGTGCATGGTTAGCACACTGCGGATGGACACCACCCATTTGGGGCACTCAATAAGAGAAAGAACTGCAGGCATGAAAATGTCCTACTGATCAGTGGTGTAAAGCCAATTAAATGAAACAGGAAACAGGAAGCACCACAGATGAAAAACAATTAAACATTATAATCTCAATTGTAAATGTGTGACATAAAAGAGTTCCATATTATGGTTTGTGCAAAACATGTTACTCATTTACATCAACTTAAAACCTTTTTTTTCCTTCATTTTCCAAATATGCACACTGACCTCAGTGGCTTGTCAATCAGCCTTGGTTACAACAATCAATTTTAAGTGTTTTACAGTGCCAACTCTTAGCGAGCTTGTAAACATTCCAACATGGACATGGGGTCAAATTCCATGTCACATTTTTCCTGTGGCTGTATGCACAGCGCTGCAACTCTGCAGTCTGTGACCAGCAGAAAAAGAGGGCCATTGATTCAAGTAAGTAAATCTTCTCATGTGTGTTTATTAGTGGTGGTCCAATCTTGGACTGGTTAACTGTGATCTTGTCCAAGCATAACAGAATTGTAATAATTTCTTGTATACTAGTCGTGAGCCATGTTGTAGTTAAAGATACAGCACTGACCTCTTCAGTGGCATGTCCACCCATTTGTTCTTTGTATAGGTTTAGACTGGAGAAATGACCAAAGAGAAGGTGTGTGACAAATGAAAGGAAAGACGTATCTTAGTAAGGTGCTGTTCCACCATGAATAGATTTTACATGTCTCTTCTGGAGGGATGAACAGGATTCTCCCAAAACATATTCCAGTCAATTGCTATTTTGATACGTCACTCCAAAATCTCCCACGGTTTGTTCAGTTCGATTGACATCTGATGACTCTTATGGTTCACTGAGCCATCATGTCCTGCAAGGGGACATTTGCATTTGTTGTGCTTCACTCTATCCACTCTTCCTTTGTCAGTATAGTTTGACATTAAAGAGCAATTTGGTAGGTGGAACACTAAGAGACTGATTAACTGAAAGCAATCAATGTATAAATTATGCTCATCATGCTAATGAGGCTGTATAATAATTTTGAAACTGCCTCTCAAGCATGAGGTCTGTCACAGTCTAATATCTGCCTTGGTGATCTTGCAGATTCTTCACTAAGAAAAACTTAGCATGAAACTTTAAAATGACCATATACACACTCATGGCCCGGTATTTCCTGAATAACAGTGACTGTGAGATAAGAAAGCACCTTGAAAGTTACATGACATCAGCTGTTTTCTGTTTGAACTTTCATATCAACTGGAACAACATTTTCTACATGCACACTTGTTTCAGAATGTCTGCGCCCAAACACACAGCAACACACTCGATCCCTCCTCACGCTCTGGCCCAGCTGGCACGACAGTGGCTGTCAGAGGACACACCAAACTTTGACCCTGCCGGGGTGTGTGTGGGATCAAAGGAGGTCGAGGCAAGGCTGCTGTGTAAGACACCACACAGCATCCTGGCAGGGAGTCCCTTCTTCACGGCAGTGTTCACTGAGGTCGGCTGCACCGTGAACTGGATTCACCAGGAGGGAGCTGAGATCGGTAGGAACTGCTCACTAGTTTTCCATTATGTGACCAGGTATTGGGGATTTAACCATCTGTTTTTTCTACAAATAAACACAGAGGGAAATAGGAGACACCGGGTTTTTTTAAAACTTTTATTTTGCTTTTATTAGAAGTTCACGTATATTAAAGATGAGAGTTTAAAATGTATTTAGGCAACAATAAGATTATGTTAAAAAAAAATGGCTCATGGGAGACGGAAGCAATGGTACAACTGCTGAACGGATTGAGGGTCGCAGTCCACCACTCCACCCACTCCACCCACTCAAGGCCAATCCAAATTTGTAAAATTAAGCTCACACATAAGTCAAGTCAATTTGAGTTATGTCTTTTCTTTCTAAAACCGTACAGTTACCCTTTGTTAGGAGTTATAGATTTAGAGAACAACCCACTATGCAGATGTCTTCTTGACGCTCTTATTCAAATGCAAATTCAAAAACAGATTTCAACTACGTCAGTCTTCTCAGACTCGGGATACTGTTTTTCTCCGCAGCTTCATTCACATGATCTGATGTTGACTTATTCAGTCTTAAATAGAACAGCACTAGTGGTTTTGCTTGGCACCATTTGATCTCAATCCCCCTATGTCTTTTGTTTAACCTCAGCAGGTCCAGATGCTGTCACACTGACTGCTGTGGTGAGAGGCCCAGCAAGGTGCCTCCTCCTTGGGGAAAGGCCAGCTCTCAACTGCCTGGCTCGGGCCTCTGGGATCGCCACTCGCTGCTCTAAGCTCCAGGCTATGGCAACAGCTAGAGGATGGCATGGAGAAGTAGCTGGCACACGCAAGACCACCCCGGGCTTCCGTCTGGTGGAGAAGTACGCCATGCTGGTTGGTGGCGTGTCCATGCACAGACAGGACCTGAGTGGAATGGTGATGCTGAAGGACAACCATGTCTGGGCATCAGGAAGTATCACAGAGGTGCGCAGCAGCACAAAAGATCCAGTTAAAATTATTGAGATGACAATTCGACAACAATGTTCTCACAGGTCATGAAAAAATTTGAGACTGTGTGGAAAAAGACAAATATTTCCATGTGATGAGAAAGTAGTTGTGCTTCCTTTAAGCTACAATGTACAATGTGAAATATAGAGATCCACTGAATGGCACTGAAATATTTTACTTTGAAAACCACTTGCATGGTTTCACTGAAACAAAAAACACAAAAAGTAAAAGAAATTAGAGTAGTTTTTCATGGTTCATAAATTTAGATGAAAAATTCAGGTGTAACATGTATTTAAAAAACAAACAAACTATTAGTTACTCAAATTCAGTGGTCAAATGTTCATCCCAAATCTAAGCATTGTCTTCAGTTATTATGACCTGATCTGCATTTCCACAGATCTTCAATCTGCCATACCAACACTACTGGCATTCTTTGTTTACATAGATTTACAAGCATAACTACGATTGAATTTGTAGCATTGAAACCATCAGAACTGATATGATTTAAATCACCAAATGTTTTTAAACTGCAATTTCAAAAACTAGATTTTAAATGCTTTTTTAGATTTCTCAAATTCAGTGGCCAAAACTGGATCCAAAACATAAAAAAAAAAAAACATTCTGTTGTGGTTAAATTACCCTAACAAATTGTGTACTTCTGACACATAACAAAAAAAAATGAAAAAATGAAAAGAACAACAAAATTTTTTTTATTTTATTTCCTTTAGGCTGTTAAAGCTGCTCGGTCAGTGTGTGGCTTCAGCAGTAAGATTGAGGTGGAGTGCCGCTCTGCAGAGGAGGGCAGAGATGCAGCTGGAGCAGGAGCAGACATTGTTATGCTGGACAACTTTCAACCTCAGGTGGAGACTGTTCACAGAACACAAGCCAAAGTTGTTTCTCACTTTCATTGCCTGGTATCCTCTCACTTTGCCACATGAAATAATACACCTCTCCCCCCACCCTGTCTCTCACCTACAGGAACTCCATGTTGCAGCTTGTGAACTGAAAGCAGAGTTCCCAACTCTACTGATAGAAGCCAGTGGAGGAGTTACTCCAGAGAACTTAGCTATGTATTTTTCCCCCCATGTGGACATCATTTCCCTGGGCTGCATAACACAGGGCTGCCCGGTTGTGGACTTTTCTCTGAAGGTTCAAAAGCCTGGTTCTCACTCAAGCCTCAACACCACAATGTGATATACATTGACTTTTTGTTCTGATGAATTGAAGAGTTCAATGGAAGTTGATTTAATTGCTGGAGTAACTTCTGTTACAGTGATGTTTTTCTTGATTAAGACATAACCCACATCCTGTTTGCTTACTGTGTCATTAGTCATTTCAATAAAGATAAAAGGAATATCGATGTTAGAAAAGACTTGCCAGCATCACGTAGACTATTTCATGTAGCTATTGAAAAACCAAACACTGTTTGTAAAAGTACATTTCCAATGAGGAACAGCAGTCACAAGTTGAAACTAACATCCAGTCTGGGTTCACAGACTTACATAAAAAAAGTTCAGACTTATGCAACCTAGAATTAAACTCGTGGTGTCTATGCGTTCAAATAGTTTAGTTACATTCTTCCAGGTTTTGAGATTTGAACTACCTCACACACAATTTAGGTGAATGTAATTTGGTTTTTGGTGGTCACAGCACTGAAACATGCCACGGAAACATCCTCCAGAAAAAGTGTCCTGATTACTGAGGGGCACCGACATTTAGAGAGCTAAACCTAAACCAGAACTTCCAGGTTCCAAAAGTAAAAATCACAACATAACAACATATGTGTGTTAGGAAACAGTGGTCTGTTTACATATCCAGTTGATACGGAGCAAAATTATGATGAATCTGACAATGATGAATGTAAGGCCAATATTCTCTCTCCTATTTGCTCTGTTTATGGTCTCTACCAACTCCTTATCGAAATGCTCCATTAAACTCAGTGGCCCCATTATTAGGTACATCTGTGCAGTCTAACACAATCCAAAGTGGCAGATCGCCTCTTTGTTGGAAGGACATTTGTCTTGTGTGAACAGTAAGATAGCAGAGATTGGTAGCTTGTTTTGTGACAGTTTTGTTTGTTGTGTTTTACTCTTGGTAATCTTTGAAGCCTGGAAGTGGGGTCAGGGTTAGATTTTATAATTAGACTGATTTTGCTGATTCCTCCACTTGTAGCCATTTGTGTTGTTACATACACTAGGTGCAGGGGTGCTGTTCCTGGTGTGTTTTTGGTTTTTTAGTCGGCTTTGGTAGCCAGTTTTGTTTTTCCTTTTACTTTGAATTGGGTAAATAATTTTACTGATTCGCTCCTAGAGAGTCCTCCTTTTGTTATATTCTGTTTTTGGTTTGGACAGCACCCACCGGCCCAGTTCCTTGGTTTGTGTTTTTTGTCCATGTAAACCATTATTTTTACAATTTATGTTACAATAAACAACCTCATACCTAATACCAACTGGGTTTTGCAGGAAATGCAGACTTACGGAAAGTGTGCATAAAAGGCTGAAAATGTCTTCTAGAGAGCCCTCATGACCTCGATGGTTTGACAGTGGGACAGTCCTAAGCCCTCATGAAGTCACTGGGAACGTGCCTCCAAGTCTGTGAGTCTGTGAGGGTGGACATTGGGATTGAGCCATACTCTTGGTCAACCGTCTCTGGTATAGCCTCTTGGGTTGAAGCTCAAGCTTATGGTCAAGTTGTTTCATTCAGCGCTACCCCTAAAGGCCTGGAGCACTTCAGTTGTGTAGTCTAAATATGCAGCGCTTTTTTCTCTTGCATTTGTTGTGGGGGTTTTTGTGTTTTTGTTATTGCATCGTTTCTGCATTTGCAGGGACAGTTGAGAAAGGAGACAGTTCACTTTTAAATATTTCCCATAACCTTCCCGTGTCTTGTGGCTTTCGCCACCTCCCCACCCCTTTAAGAGACCAGCAGCAGGTCTGAGTCTATTCATTCCAATGGGAGAAGTGAATGTGATCACACATTATGACAGATTATTCTCCCCCCACAGTCACTGAAATAAATATTCAATCCATTTTTCTAAAGCCACAGATCTTCCAAGCTTTCTGACATCAAAATGTCATTTTTCAGACTGACAGATCAGGAGAAAATTAACTTAATTTGAGAACTGGCTGTGTCTCAGTAACACACTCTCGAGATCTGGTAAAACAGACCTCTTCTCTTTGTCGGTTCTGGTTTCACAGCTGCAGAACTGCCAACGTTGCTTTCCAACCACAGAAGTTTAGAGGGACTTAGAAGTGAAACCATGCATTAAAAGTTTAAACTGAAATAAAACTTGTATTTCTTTGCTTAATAATACTATTGTTATTATTATCATTTAACGGTTTTTGGAGGGTTTTTTTTGGTTTTATGATCAGATATTAAGATAGCAGATAAAAATTAGTTTGCTGCAAAGTCATACTGTATATAGTGTTGTATTGTGTTGTTATGTTTTGACATGAACAAGCAATCACGACCACTCCCACTTAGGAGACAGGAAGTGTATCCCATTTTATACCATTGGTGCTGTCTGTAATGCCTTATCTTCTGTATAGAGTACCTTTGGTTTTATTTACAGCAGACAGTTTGCTGTTAATGTCTTTGTTCTGGCTTCCCGCAGCACGTGTTTTCATTTGCAGCACATTGCTGTTGTTGTATTCGTTTTGTATTTTCGTATGTGTTTTTGAATCTGCATCGTTTATGAATTTGCAGCTCGTTTCTCCTATCAGAAGTGATTGCAGCATGTTTGCCCTTGTTGGCTACCATACACAATACTAGCAAACAACACCAATCAGTACCAGCAATGGGAAAAAAGAAACATTGAGGATTAAGGAATCAATTACAAAAAGAGGAAGCACGAGGGAAGAAAAAACATTTTCAAGAGAAATTAGCTCTGAGAGCAGCAGTGTCACAACCACCTGTTACGGAAACGCCCTCATTTAAGGCACAGGAAGTATTGCACATTCATATGTCTCAAGAAAAAACCCGCAGCTCTGTTTGCCTGAAAAGGTTGAGAGGGGTGATGTGAAGGATGCAGGGGCAGCGTCACCTTTTCCTGCTCACTTACATGGTGGCTTTTGGTAAGATCTAAAATTTTACTACAATTACAGTTTGACACAGTTTTCCTCCACATAAGGAGAGATAGGGTTGCTATATATTTGTGTGGGGAAGTACATGAGTGAATTTCAGGCTTGAGACCTTTGAGAGATGTTACAGCAAACAGATACATTTTTTTGTAAAGTCGTGAAACCTTATGAGTTGACTTTTTTACTTGCATATTCACTGTTTTACAAATTTGATGATATTTAATTATTTTATTATATTTTCTATGCCTCAACTCTTTGTTTTGTGTAAAGAAATGGTGCAGACAATAAGGAAATCTATTCTAAGCATGCAAAGCACAATTAGAATCAGCAGGTTTGCAGTCTCTTAATACATGAATTCTAACAGTCTTCATTGAGACTCTGTATAGAGGAAATGGAGCCAAAAGGAAATGAAAGGTTTGCAGATTATCCACATCAGTCAGGACAAAACATTTTTTCACAGTAATAATTAATCATTTTATTTTCCATTTAATTTTCATTTCATTTTATTCATCATTTCATTTGTTGCCTATTTTCACATTCAGCATGGAACAACATTAATATTCATGTAGAAGAAGATGCTTTCAAAATTTGCGTTTGAAAATAAAAATGATGTCAGGGTGTGGAGTTACAAAGAAGGGAACCTACCAGACCCCCTTTGCTCTGTGTAGCAGCTCAGGGTCAGCTGAACTATCAGCAGTCAAGTTGCATTGTGGCTAATGTCGGTAAGGTTTTTACAAGGAACAAGAATATGTGAAACAAAAAAAATGGCACCTCCGTACCTGCTGTATCAATTTTGATCCATTTTCAAAAACTGTCCAATGTAAAACTGACAGTGTTATAAGAGAAGAATACTGTATCAGTGGAGAGATAGAAAATTGTTGTGACCCCTTTGTGTGTCACTATATGTAGTAATGTTTCAGCTAAGTAAAATCAGAACTTCTCATGGACTATATTCTGGTGTTGACTGGGGTTGATTTGGGCCTAACCTGCCACCCAGTGGACATGCTTATTAAATGTGGAAAGTAAGTTGTACAGAAACAATATCTAGTAAATCAATGCATTCTTTATTATCAAGTGTATTGCTTAATGCTCGGCAGTGCTTTTAAATATCACATTATTTCTAAAACAGTAGTTATTAGTTATCTTCTGAAATTCTAATTTTTTATTAATATTAATTTAAAATGAGATTCCACCTATTTAGATTAAAGTGTGTCATTTTTTTCAAAATGCAGCCATCCATGTTTCCTTGGCTTTCAACATTGATACGACAAATACTGATGTCTATACTGGTAAACAAGAAGATTTCTTTGGATACAAAGTGCTTCAATATGTATCTGGCACAAACAAAGGGTAAGTCTGCATTTGCAACCTGGTGGTTCAGTTGATATTTATTATTGCTCTTATTGTCAAAATCCTTATATAAAAAGAACAAGTTAAGTTTAGTTGCCATTTTTTAGGTTGGAAAACCTTTGAGGTGATATGAAGTCAACATAATTTAAAACTTATAGTTATATTTACCTATTTTTTTCAAGGCAATAGGTTTCCTAGCTTTTTTCAGTTAGATCAACTTGTCCGTTTTACAGTGTAATGACATAAATTGAAGATGATTCTGGTTTACTTCACTTCATGTGAAGAACCTTAACACATTGTGGTTTGACACTTCGAATTTTGCTATTATTGCTTCCTGTGACTTATCTTCCTGTGCCATCACATCACTTGACGCCCACAGAGAAGGCATTTTCTTTTAAAACAGTGCTGCTCATGTCAACCTGACTGACCTTAAATGGTTAATGGTTATTGATGTCATCCACAGGATAATTGTCACTGCACCTCTGCAGCTAAATGGATCTGGGGGAATATGCAAACCTGAGAAAAGCCAAACCCCCCAGTGCTTCAATCGTAAAGGTATATAAATACAGCTTTTGAAGTCAATGTCATGCAATTAATCACACCATTAAAAAAAAGAAGTATCGTTTCCAGCAATACAGCAAAATGCAATATAAACATTTCACTATGTAGCTGAAATGCTTTGTGTATTTTATTTAGTACTAATCAAAAGCTCTACTGTTGCAGATATTAATCTGGAAAATAAAACAATACCAGTCAAGCACCTTGGCCTGTCGATAGCTGCAGACTCCAAACACTCCCAATTCACTGTAAGAAAAAAGCTTAATAAGTTTGTTGAAATCCAAAATATACATTCTCTGTGATATTTGTTGAAAATTCTGAGCAAAGAAAATCAATATGTTGAATCAAGTTTCTTTTGCCTCTTATGTTCTGATGTAGGTTTGCAGCCCAAGTGTAGCCCATGAATGTAATGAGAACTCCTATCTGAACAGTGTGTGTTTCAAGATCACAGATAATCTTCAGGCAATCTCCTTTTTCACACCTGGCTACCAAGGTAAAAGACATTTAAAGAGAGTAAACTTCATCTCTGTGGTCATAATGTTCTTCTTCTCATCATGTTTTTGTCCTGACAACATTTTCTATTCAAATCTTCACTCCAAATGTTTTTTTTCAGAATGCACAAAAAAGACAGTGGACCTCATCTTTCTGTTTGATGGATCAGGGAGTATGACTGAAGAGGAATTCACAAAAAATAAAGATTTCATAGTGGATATAATGGACAGCCTTAAGAACTCATCAATCAAGGTCACTGCATTACTGCAACATGAAAGCATTCATAGCATTTATGTGTTGAATTATATCTATATATAATGTTAAATAAATAATGTATTATGTCATCTGTTTTTTTCCAGTTTGCAGCAGTTCAGTTCTCCTCAGATTACAGGAAGGTTTTTGACTTCAATGACTATCAAGCTGGTACAGCTCTTGATAAACTTATGAAAGAGCCCCACATGAAGAGTCTCACCAACACTCACAGAGCCCTCAAATTTGTGTTGTAAGTTCACTTTCATTGCATACGGAAGCCGAGAAAGGCTATAGTCGCAAATATTATTTTATCCCAAGATAACAAAGCTCGTTATCCTGAGATAACGAGATAATTCTCCCGTTGTCTTGAGATAACAAAGCTTGTTTTCTCATTTTGTTAATCAGAGATCAGATGTGCCATGCCAGTATACAGACAGCAACGCCTAGTGCTATAAACTGAAAATGTCAGGACTATGCATTGTCGAACACATCAGAAAATATTTCAATCAAGGGCAGAAATTACATTAGTCT